CTTCTCACGTTCGAGCCGGTCCTTTTCGGCTTGTTGGGCTTGTTCGCGCTCAACTTGTTCGCACTCAGCTTTTTCGGCCTTCTCACGTTCGAGCCGGTCCTTTTCGGCTTGTTGGGCTTGTTCGCGCTCAACTTGTTCGCACTCAGCTTTTTCGGCCTTCTCACGTTCGAGCCGGTCCTTTTCGGCCTTTTCGGCTTGTTCAACTTGTTCGCGCTCGGCTTTTTCGGTCTTCTCACGCTCGAGCCGGTCCTCTTCCACTTTTTCATGCTCAGCCTTTTTGCGCTCATCTTTCTCGGCCTTTTCGCGCTCAAACTTTTCGTCCTCGAGTTGCTGGGCTTTAAGCTGATCTTCCTTTGCTTGGGCATCAGACAGTTTTCGAAGTTGAGGCGGAACGTATCTTTCTCCAGATATTATGGCATTCAAGTTAGTATAATTGCCAACGGGTGACGGTGATACAACCTCCAAACACTCCTTGGTAGAAGTTTCCGGAGTTTCTGCTTGGACTTGCGCATTAGGCTTTTTTGCAACTAATTTCGGAGACGAAAATGAAGGTTCTGGCTTTTTCTGAACGGAAATCGGAACCTCCTCCTGAGCAGGAGCTTGTTGTGTGTGTTGAGGTGAAGGCTGCGGCTTCTCTTGAGCCGGAGACTGTGGCTTCTTCTCAGCTGGAATGAGGTCCTTCTTCGTAGCTGGAACGGGATTCTTCTTCGCAGCTGGGACCTCCGTCTTCTTCTGAGATTGAACCGGATTCTTTTCCGCACCTGGATCTGGAACCTGCCCTTGAGCCTTCTCCTGTGGCTTTGCCTGTCCTGGAGCCTTGACAACGCGCGGTCCAGCAGTCTTGGGAATCCTCCATTCAGGAGTCTTCACAGCGCCCGGTTGCTGATTCTCCTTCTTGATCTCCTTTTGCTTTTCAGCCCCAGCAGCCTCGGGTTCCCGGCGCTTCTCAGCTCCGGCCGCTACGTGCTTGCCATTGGCCTCTTTGGCGGGTTCGCTTCTTGATTGAGCAATATTCGAAATCTTTCCAAGTGGTGTAAATCTGTTGCCGCTTTCTCTTGACCCGTCACCTGTTGATGCAGAAGCTGCCGTCAACTTTCCGCCTGGTATGAACTCCTTGTATTTTGTTTCAGCAACAGGCCTAAATTTCCCGCCCGTCGTAGAAGCCTTGAAATGTTCCTTGACGGCGGTTTTAGCCAAGGTAGCTTTCTCTGCTTCATGAATGATCTTGCGTCTTTCGGCCTGTTCTTTCCTTTTG